GGCAAACCAGCCAGTTGTAATTTGTTACAGGACTGTGAGCCAGCCATATGTAACAAATAGCATCCTGCCTCCAAGGTAATTTCCACAGTGCAGAGTGTTCTATGTATGGAAGAATCTGTTGGCAGCAGATGTGACGAGAGCCTTTGATCTTTGCTACCTTCAGAAAACTGCTCAATTAATAATATAGTACAGGAGAGGTAATGTGGTTGTTAAATTGTTACCTGATTTTTCTTTTAGCACCTTGTGAACTGTCCACACTGAATGATTGTTTTTCCATGGGTAAAGCTTATGTGCTGGGACCAGGTGTCTAATGCCTAAGGCAAAGAGTCAAGCCAGTGTAACAAAGGATGTAAAGTAGTATTGAACTCTCAAAACTGTTTTCAATAATGTATCAGATCAAACAAATAGACATTGTCCAGCAAAGTATTTCTTTACATATTTACCCAAACACTTAGTCATCCTCCAGCTTGGCTTCCCTGAACTTCCTGTCCAGTACATGAGTGCTTTCATCAGCAGTGGTCTATCTACTAGCATTGGGAAGGAAGGAGCAGAGAGGGTAGAGGCTTGTCTTGGTGTGCCTACTACTGATAGTGTTTGGTTTTTTTTGGTACTCCCCTATACCGAGTACCAGAAATCCCATTCAGGAAGCTGGCGGCGTGTAATGACACACCACCTGGCTTCCTGATTAGCCGGGAAGCTGGGCAGCGTGTAAAGACTCGCCACCTGGCTTCCCCATTAGCAGGGAAGCCGTCACCATGCTTCTCGTCACTAGGTGACGAGAAAGCATCGAACCGGCTTTCTGGCCAATCAGGAAGCCGGGCGCCGTGTAATGACGCGGCGCCCGGCTTACTGATTGGCCGGGAAGCCGGCTCCATGCTCCCTCATCATGAGGTGTCAAGGGAGCATGAAGCTGGCTTCTAGACCAATCGGAAAGCTGGCCACGGCGCCTTGCTTCCTGATTGGCCAGCTTCGGACCAATCGGGAAGCCGGCAGTGCGTCATTACACCTACTCGGCATCGGCACTGATAACCGATACTAGCATCGGTGCATCCCTATTGATTACCATAGAATGTTGCAGATAACAGAACCATCTCTCTTTTTATATAGGCTATATCAGTCACTTGTTATCCAAGGCAGCCAGTCACAATGGTGGATGAGCAGAGGTGTTCAGTCAGCTGCATCCTGATAATGTGTCTTGAAATGATTGCACAGGTTTTAAAAGAGAACTGAATGTAAAAGATTCAGCAATTACATACAGAAATATGAGACTCGAACTAGCGAGCTATGGAAATGTATTGCACTCTCTTGCTTGTGGTGGTAAGCTAAGGACTGCTTAAAGGGGAATTCTATCCAAAGCCTGAAAAATATTGCACTGTTTGATGGACTGGGAAACTAAGCCAAGATCTAGCTTACCTTAAAGGGTGAGTTCACCTTTTAATGTTTGTTTTTTTGTCCAAAAATCCATGAACATTACATATTACTTATTATAATGCTTACTCTTAATAATGCTGCTCCTGTGGGTTCCCCTTTTTTGTCCTGACGACATGGCAGGACGGACCAACCGTTGGAAGCACCTCATGCACCTCAAGCACCAGCTCCTCATGTACGAGCACTTGGCTGGCTAACTGCACATGTGCACTCTGCTTTTATTCTGCAGGAGTGGCTGAGCTCGGGGTTCTGTGAGAAAGCAGACTGAGCATGCATGTTATCCAAGTAGAGTTCTCCTAGCCAGGTGCTAGTTTGAGGAGCTGGGGCCACGCATCCAGTGGTCCGTCAGTCCATCCTGTAGTCAGGACAAAGAGGGGGAGCATTAATAAAAGTAAGCATTGTTTTTAAAAATAGAAGGTGGCATTTTACTGGGCATTGAAGGTTGTAATGTTAATGGATTTGTGAAAAAAAATGTTTTAACTATCTCTTTTTTAACCACTTGAAGACCAGGGGGTTAAACCCCCTTCCTGTCCAGGCCATATTTCAGAATTCAGTGCTGAGGTATTTTGACTGACTTTTATTCAGTCATACGGATGCCATACTGAACTGAATATTAGATCTTTTTTTTTTAGACAGTTTTCTTTGGTGGTATTTAATCACCACTGGGGTTTGTTTTTTTTTGTTTTTTTTTTACTATATAAAGAAAAAAGTACTAAACCTTTTGAGAGAGAAAACATTTTTTTTCCCTACATTATGATTTTAAACATTTAATTAATGATTTGATCCCCTGCAGATCTTGTAAGTTTGCCCACTTACAAAGAAATGAAAGGCCTATCATTTGATCATAGGTGTATTTTAAATGATAGAGACAGAATATCAACCAAAATCCAGAAAAAACACATGATACAAATGTTATAAATTGAGCTTGGGGATCAAATACCTATTTTACTCACTGAACTGCAACTCAATATATAACATTTGTGTCATGTGTTTTTTCTGGATTTTGGTTGATATTCTGTCTCTATCATTTAAAATACACCTATGATCAAATGATAGACCTTTCATTTCTTTGTAAGTGGGTAAACATACAAAATCTGCCGGGCATCAAATAATTATTTGCCACACCTGTAAAAGATGGGGGTCACTTTGGGTAAATAGAACCCCAGCATGTCAAATAGGCCCACTTGTCCCAGGACCACATGGAGGACAGCAGAGCCGGAAATAGTTGGCGGAGGGAGGGAGCGCACGCTACCCGCACCCTTCCTTAAAGGAGAACTAAAGGAGAACTATGGGATTAAGGCTTTTCCCCATAGTTCTCCTTAGGGTAACGGGAGGACACAAACTAGCGTCCTCCCGTCACCCTAGGCTCAGTATACCGCTCGCGGTATACTGAGACGCCTCAGTATACCGCGTGCTGCTGCTCGCAGTATACTGAGACGCTGAAGCGGATCCCAACAATTATGTCTGGATCCGCCCAGCTGCGTGACTGACAGCTGGCTCTGCCAGCTGTACCCTCCCCTGTCCGCTCCGCCAGTCAGCGCTGGCGGATCGGAGCGGGGAGGGGGGAATCCAGCCCCTCCCCTGTCACGGCAGAGAGCCATGATAGGATCGAGAGGTGAGCGAACGCCGGTATGTGTTCGCTCACTTCCCGATCTACTAAGCCGACCTCTGACAGTCTCATTGTCACAGGTCGGCTAGAACTATGAGGTGAGTGAAAAGCACTCACCTCATAGTTCTCCTTTTTAACCCTTCCAGCACCATACAAGCGATCGGGTGACTCTATAGCTGCCCAAACGCTTGTATGTATCCAGGGCTTCATTTTGTCAAACTTTCCTGATCGGGTGTAAGTGGGCAAGGACTTCAAAAACGCCCACCTGCCACTCAGCGTCCCGCCATCTGGCCGTTTATTTACAATTGGCCGGACAAGTGGTTACAGTTACTGTACACCAAGTGCATCTATATTTTAGCAATGTTTACCTACTGGTTAAGCATACCATATCTCTTAAATTTTAAATCAATTTTTTCTTTTTTCTTCCTGTTTATAGCAGTCGAGTAACTACTGTGTTGTGCCTTCACCTAGCTGCAAGGGCTGCAGACAGATTTCAAATGGCATGGGGCACCTTGCGCTAAAATCATTCATCACAGGTGCTCTTTAGCTCCATGGAAATGGGCACAAACCTCCAGGCTGTAGGAAGGCATAAGGGGATGCTAGGGGAGGGCTGAGAGGTGTACATAGACATGTGCACCAGCAAAAATTTCGTTTAGTTTAGTTTTGATTTGGATTTTGCATATTTCGTCTTTCGGATTCGGGTCTGCAATTGAATTCGTTGCGGGATTCGGACGAAATTCGTTAGCAGTAGTCGTTTTTCTGATTCGGGTCCGCAATTGATTCGGACAAAATTAGTCCGGTCGGAATTTCGTTTATTGGACGAAATTTCGTTAGCAGCAAAGTGACATTAGAATTTTTTTTTTTTTTCAGTCTGCAGAAGATGAAAAAAAAAAAAAACGTGAAAAAAACTAAGACTCAATTTTTGACTATTCCTTTAATTTAAAAAAAAATGGCTCCATCGATGTAATCCAGCGTCAATCACGATGCACGACCCCCGCCGACCCGCTGAAATAAAAAAAGTCCCGCTGCACGATGACCACCCGAACCCGACGAAAACTCGCCGCAAAATGACATTCAGCCCGAATGTCAACAGATGGGCGGGGCGAGCCATGACGTCACGGCCCGGTCCGCCCATTTGACATTCTCAGCTGTCAAATACTACATATCATTCGGAAACGCCCGAGTGCTATTCGGGTCTGTGAGCCGAGGTGCCCCGTACTCATTCATAAGGGGGAGGGTGGCATCTGGGTGCCCCCTTATTTAAAGGGGTACACTGATGCAAATAAGCCCTCTTGCCCGCAGACCCCCAAAACCACCGGGTCAGGGTTGTGAGGAAGAGGCCCTTGTCCCCATCGTCACTTGCTCCCAATGCCGAGGGCACGTGGCCTGGTAAGGCGCAGGGAGGGGGGGAATTTCGACCGGACTACTGCTAACGAATTTCGGGGATTCGAATTCGTTTGCATTCGTTTTCGCTGGAATTCGGATGCATCCGAATCTCCGAAAATTCGTCCGAACATGTCTAGTGTACATACTAGATGTACAGTAAGCTGTATGTCTGTACAATGTCCAGTACAGTGGGGCTGGGGGGCATGGCAGCAAAAATGACTACAGGAGTTACAGGCATGTTGTGCATCTGCACAAAGTCCTGTAACTTGTAGCAGCCTTCCTAGGGATACAAACTGACCACACTATCAAGGATCTCGATCTGTGCTTGGCGTGGTCAGAGGAACCAAAGGGAACTGCAAGATCGCCGGGTATTTAGCAGCTGCACACCAAATGAGAACATTAAGAACAGTTTTATTTTGTGTGGTAACATACTTTAATTTTGAGTATATGGAATAATTTGACTAGTCATAACACTTGTATATGTATTTTTAATATTTTTTGGAAGCAGTTCAGTGGAGATCTCATTAGATAACATTTTTTGCATTGTTCTAGCACAGAAGATTCAGGAGCCACCACATAGATCTTTGGACCTACTGGTACTGGTCAATAATGGATCGCTACCGTTACTTTATATTCAACCAGCGGAGTATGGTGGTGCTGGGAATCCTCCAGATAGCATGTACTGGTGTCTCAGTGGTCTGCGGTTTCATGGATGGTGCCTTTCGGAAAGAATCCACACTGGGGAACACAAGAGCTCCTGTTTGGGCTGGAATGGTAAGAGTCATCTCGTAGCAAGGGTATGTTTTTGGATTTAGCCAATAAACTGCCTAGCATAAATAAAAATGAATTGGCTGATTAATTTCTGGGCTGGACAAATTGTAGGCCCCTTAAAAGTTACAGCTGGCACCTAATGTTTAAGGATTTCTCTAGTTGTCAATGGAGTTGGTTACTAAAAAGAAATCCTGCTGGATTGTATAGACTGGCTCCTACATTCCATATGAATTTGTTCACCCTGGACTATCTTATTGTTGGATAGTGCCTTGCGCCACTTCACATGCACCAAATGTAATTACTCCCAAATTGGACATAATGGTCCCAAAACATGGCCATAGAGTATACCGTTTTATTGACTTGGCAATGAGCCATTATACCCAAGCAAACCTTGGTGAATTGAATTGTCACTTGTGACATTTATAAAAAAATTCTAACAAAAAAGTAAGCAGCATGATGTGCTGGGTTCCTTGCAGCATGCACCAGTGGCAGTGCCTTCAGCGTGGCTGGCTGGCGTGAATGAGCCCCTACCCACTTACAATTATTGGGCTGCCTTATGCATTGCAAAACCATATGAGAATACTGCACATTAAGCACACGGTGCACTCAAATGGTAGAAAGTTGATGGGACAGGTCAGACAAAGAGTAAATGTTTGGTTAGTTTTGACTGATGAAAGCTGGAGTTCTACTAAATCATTTTAATAACCTGTAATTATTATAACAAGTCTTTTGATTATTTGCCGTTTTCAGGCAGCACAGTTTTCCAAAGTAAAAATGTTTTTGTGAGCCCCATCTGGTCTACCACCAAGAATGATTTATTTATATGGAAAACCAGTGGTATACACTCTAGAGTTTTGGAAACTGTTCGCTGTAACAAATTGACTCCACTATACCTGATTTTAGGAAAGCAAATCCATTCTGAAGCAACTTTCCCTTTATTTGTAGATGCATATCTGCAATAATATGGTGATATTTGCGCAGAATATAGTCTTCGCATTACTCTATTTTATTTCACCCACTTGCCCTTGTTTTGTAGATCATGGCTATTCCCGGTGTGCTGGCCTTATTTTCATCACAAAAGAAGAATCCTGTTCTTGTAAGACTCCTTTTATTCTTTTAATGACCTTACATTTAACTAGGGATGCACTGATACAATTTTTTTCAGACCGAGTACAATGACCGATACTTTTCCTCAAGTACTCGCCAATGCCAATTCCTGATAAATTTAAAATGATTTTTTATTTTTTTTTAAAACAATGCAGACGAATGATTTTTGAACAGTGGTGCAGCGCCAGGGCCCAGTCACAGCTGCGCCCCTGGTAGTTCTGACACTGACTCTAAGCTGTTGAGGGACTACAAATGCCAGCAATACATTACACAGCAGTGCAGAATACCACCAGCTATATAGGACTACAAATCCCAGCAATACATTATACAACAATGCAGAATAATATGAAGCTACATACTATGTGTTGCTCGGGAGGCTGTGCGTAGTCTCTCCAGCGCTGCGTACTGCGTGTGGCAGGAATAGGTGATCTTTGACCGGACTGTCGCTGTAAATGGGCGCCATGAAGGTCCCCATAAGGCTGCTCTAAGGTCCCCAGCAAGTGCGGGACCGCAGGCAGCTGCTTCCGTTTAAAAATGTAAGGTGACGGTATCGGCGCTTAGTATTGGGGCATTTTCACAAATACAAGTACTTGTGAAGATTTCCAGTATCGGCACTGATAGTAGTATTGGTGCATCCTTACATTTAACTTTTTTTACATGTTTTACTTTATCACATCTGCTGTCTGATAGTTTAACCACAAATTTTGTTATGTAGCTGTACCATCCATCAATACAGTATTCCCCATACTGACTGCTCTTTCCTTATCTGCAGGTGAATGCACTTATTGTGGTCTCAGTGTTTTCATGTTTCACCACCTTAATCATTGTAGTTTATGCTTGTCTGACTCTGGTATATGGGGAGGATGATGATGAAGTGTTCTCTCATACACCTGTACACATTGTACACACAGTAAGTACCATCCATAAAGTCTATATAAACTCTACTATGGTATGTGAAATGAACATCAGTATTTATGCAAATTGATTGTTAATGATATACTCCAGTCAAAGTTGAAAGCTTGGGAAGAATTTGGGGGTACTCTCAGCCACTACTGTCCGCTGTTCTTGCCTTTGAAAGAATGCTTGTGTATGATTTGTCCCCCCTGTACACAGGATTCCAGCCTTGCACTATGTACTTCAAATTGCACTCACAAATGGTAAGCACTCATTGGTGAGTGCCAGCAAATGAGACGCGCTTCTTATCAAGAACTGCGTTTCGTTAGTTATCGTAGTCAGGTGAGCATGCTAAGCAATGAATGCTCTCCATATGCGAGGGTGATTTGAAAACTAGTGCAGGGCTGTGATGTTGTGTACAGACCATACATCGGTAGCCGTGAAAAGGAAGCAGCGTTCTTTCAAAGGTAAGAGAAGTGGGAGATGGGTTTAAAGCAATCTTGGAAGTTAAAATGCAATTGGTACCATAGACAAGAGATGGGGAACTTTGTACAGGCTTCAGGAAGTATACTTCCAGTAACCATATGAGGTGCACTCTTGATTTTGGCTGTAATGGATTGCAAAGAAATGTTGACTTTTGAAGGTCAACTTTGTGATTTATTTTGCTGGGTAGCATTAGTAGCTCGCTGGTTGTTTTCATTCATTGGCAGGATCTGCTCATATCATCAGTAACAAACAAGATTTCATGATGGCTTAGTAGAAGGATCAGACTCCTGACCGTCTTGTAGACAGATTAAATGTTCATTTAATGTCATGCTATAATTAAAAAGAAAATCATTTATGTATTTTAGCTTTATGGTTCATATCTGACTTTGTTTCCCTCTCTCTAGAAGTTCATCCTTAATCGACTTGTTCAGGGAGCAAACATTGCGCTGCTTGTAGCATCTTTCATCAGCCTTTGTGTTGTCCTGTGCATAGCATACATAGGTTGTCGAAGTTTACCACACTGTATGTGCTATGACAACATAACTGGAATGGTGAGTAACTCATTACAAGTGCAATTACAGTGCTGTTTTTTGTTTTTGTTTTTTTTATCATATGTCGAAGATTTCTGAAGATGCGCTTATGATGGGTATTGCAAATGCAGAAGAAAACATTTCCCAGCACACTTACCAGCTAGCCTGCCAAAAAAACGGGGATAAAAACAAGAGGTTTTGGTTGCACAACTTTTGCAAACTATGTGGAAGCCACACTGCAACATCCTTTGCTATATATGCCCCAAGATGGAGGCTATGGTAGATTTAGAGTTGGGACCACACTACACAGAGGGGCTTTGGACGAGGGAGTGTGGCTTCCACATAGTTTGCAAAAATTGTGCGACTAAAACCTCTGTTTTTAACCCTAATAGTTCGACAGTGTAAATGTCTTTTTTATTTGTTTTTGCAGGCTGGCTGGTGAGTGTGCTGGGAAATTTTTATTCTTGTACTGTAAAGCCCTTCCATGGGAACTTTACTTTTAAAGCTATTTATGTTCAGTGCATTTGCCATTTTGTATTTCTTGTTTGGTATTGCAAATGGTAATCCCGACACCATCTTCTTGTTGTCGGATTTAGAGAACTGAGAGTTTGGGCTTCGTTGGAAGGCATGGTATCAGTAGGTGTGTGAAGCTGGACCCAGAGTCAGCAAAATGTATAACATGAGCCTTTAATGTTTGGAAAATTCAGAGCTTCCAATCTTTATAAATCTTTAATGTTGAAGAAAACACATCATCCCAACCTCCGGTATCAATATATACTGCTACACTTTGGCCTCTGTAACTGTGTGAAGCCAGTTGCTAATCTAAGTATAGTGCCGACCTTTCAAAAGAAAACTACTTTGCTAATTTTGTCACCTGTAATACTACACATCCCAACTACCACCTTATAACGCTTTTTGATTAGTTTTATAAAAGATCCCATAAAACATACATACACTTATAGCGCATCTTTGTACATCTGTTTCTTAGAGCTCATTCACTTCTATGTGCTTTTCCTTCTAATGTGTCTTACTGTGAAATCAATAGAACATAAACACATGTCAAATCACACTGATGCATGTTCGCATGCACTGCAATGCAATTTCTGTAGAATATTGTGTTTTTCCATGATACTTAATTTGTAGAGCATGTGGCAGATCCAAATAAGAAAGCTCAACACTCCTTCTGGCTTTCTGAAGATCTTAGTCCCATACCTGATAGGGCGGTGTCTTTGAAGTCATTCAGATGTTAATGTGGCTGATTTTTTTATTTCCTGGTATTCGATCTTTTTGAAACATTGTCTATTCACAGCATAGCCATAAGTCCAGACTGTTATTTTTTTTTTTTTAAGCTCCCCCCTGGAATATTTTAAATACCTGTTCATCCTGCCAGTAGAACCATTGGATAGGCACTTCTTTTCATAGGGTGATGGCAGCCTTAGTTCTGCAGTGAAATCACTGCAATTTTGTCACTCTTGTTGCTGTTCTAGCTGTTAATGGCACCCTTGATATCCCTTTAAGTAAATAGCCTCACCTAGTTCTGCCCACAGCCATTTAGATTGACAGCATGCTGCCCTATTTGCAGGAGCTTCCCAGCTGCATTTACCACTTAAAAATGTAATGCGCCAACTTGCATTGAAAATGCCTTTTCATTACTGGGAGTGGAAAAAGAGAGGCTTTACATTGACTTTCAGCTATACACAAACACATGTGAATTTATTTCTGTGCAGCTTGACTGAGAAATAATGATAATTAGAACACATTTGCTCCAGATCTTTGCTGATAGTTAAGGGAGCACTAGTGGCCGGGGTCCGTGGTTTTTTTTGGTTTTTTTTTTGTTTTTTTACCATTTTAAGCTCAGTAGGCTTGTGCTTTTATAAATGGCAGTTCTACAGATATTGGGAGAAAAAAAAAGCACACTGGTACAATATACTAAGCCAGGTTAGGACCATTAAAACAAACAAAAATGTTCTGTGTAAAGACCTGACCCTAGACCAGGGTGCCACTTTGGGTGCCCAAGGTACAGTCTCCAGATGGAAATCTAGACCTGCTTCTTGCAGCTAATGGAAAGTGTTCCAACATGGATTTTCAGAGGACATTCATTGGACTTGCTAATTTCCGATACGGCTGCCTATAGTCTGATACATGACTGAAAGTTACTCCATAGACCATTTTGGTTGAACTGGGAAATAATTACATTTCTATTAGATAGCAGAAAACGACTTTAAAGCATTAGACCCATCCCCCACCCTCCAAGAAAAGTTGTTGCTGGGACTTCTTCTTGTGGCTTCTCTATTTCCCTACACAGGGAAATAGACCAAGAGACAAGACCTTGTGTTTCTGCATGCTCATCATGTCGGTTGTTGTGGTCTGCATTAGAAATGCAAGAGATACAATAAATTAGCCAGTTCTATTGGCTGCTTCTGGGATCTATATCTGTATATTGTTTTATCTCTTTCAGGAATGGTTACATCCTGAACATGAGCAGGCTCAGACTGTGGAACTGGTGTGCACTTTCCATGGTGAGGAAATCCTTCCACTCATCTCACTGCAGGAAGGCATTAACATCATTGTATTTATTTCCAAAAATGCTTTGTGTAATATTTAATGTGTATGTGTAGTCTCTGCAATGTTGGTAAACCGCTACTTGATATAACAGTCATGTGCTTGGCTTAGACCTGGGCCTATCCGTTCTCTCCTATAGACCATGGAGGCCTCCTTTAACAGTGTCAAGTAGTGAGACAGTACCAGGCTCATGAACTTAGGTGCAAGATGCCTTCCTCAGGTTTTAACTGAACTCCAGACAGATATAATTCACACAAATTATTGTAGCTCTCTTATTTCTTTAAATGTATTTCTTCTAATGCAAGTAGCGATTGGACCTGAATTTTGATATCTGCCTCTTGCATTATCTTTACAGCAGAGTCTGGGAGAGGGAAAAGGAACACAAGGAGCCAGTTGGTTGGACTCAGTGCTCATATGCTAACAAGCAACATGCTGAGGGTAGAAGAGAGCAGAGGGATAAAAAGATGAGCTTATTAGTGTGCAGCTTCTCCTTTTACAGTCTAGTCATGGGATGGATTAGGGACAAGACCTGTCGGTGTGACTTTACTCTAGTAGAGCAAAATCAGGTCAACTGCTCTGCCAGTTCCATTATATATCTCATCTGTATATTTAGCCGTTTGCCTGAAGTTCAGATTTAACTTAAGTGCAGACACCTGGACATACATAATGCCATGGAGGTTACTGTATAGGAAAGGCAATATGGACTGTATTTCAGGCAAATTCCTAGCCCATGCTATCTTTTTTGGTTTTACCATTCTGTAATTCAAGCACATTAGCAGGAGTGTCTCCGAATCTTATGATTTTGGTGATGTTAATATATGCTTTTATTGATTTTCACGTGGGGTGTAAATTGAATGGTGAGTGTATCCACTTTATTTAAATAATGAATATATAAGAACAATATAGCTTTTCTTATCCAGCTTTGTTTTCCAGAAGAAGAGGAGCGTATATTTAATTCTCCAGCACAGTTCACAGAAGCCAATGTAGAAACGGAAGAGGCATTTTCCCAGCCGCCTCCATACGTCAAATTATCCTGAACAATTGAGGACTTTCCTAATGTGGCCTTCCTATATAAGGCATGTTTAGGCTCAATGTTTACTATCCGAAAATTTTATTGTATAAAATATATATATATATATATGTTTGTTTTTCTCTTATTTGCACTAAGATGATATATTTAATTGTGTTTGCAGTGCCTTACTATGTCTTGATGACGCACACCATAAAGATGCATCCCTGTGATAGATTTTATTATGTTACACTGTCTTACCCCTGTCCATCACTTATTTTCATTGCATGGCATGCATCATACATGAGTGAAGCCAGGATCAATGACTTGGTTAAGACTGCTTTAACAGTGTGTCAGTCAAGTCCTTGCTTTGAAGTATGCTTTGACTAAACCATGGACCCATGTCAAAGTATGTTCATGATGTCATGGATTCGGCAAACAATGTATACATCACTAACTGTTTGATTCAGGGACTTATGGATCAGATCTAAATGGCATATTTGGGATTTCTGCCGCAGGAATTTAAAGGTTCCTACCGCAGGATTCACAACACACACATTCATACAGAGTGTGAATTAACCGTTCAACATTCCAGCAAGTGACATGTACTGGTTGTATTGCTATAGGATATCTACTACATATTTGATGCATGCTAGTTACAGCAGCCATGCTTTCGGGTGTATGAATGGTCTCCAAAGCTATTACTGATTCATATTTGGGTCTGTGGAGAAGGTTTGTGTGGTTACTACTTTGACTTGATCTTTTGTTGTAAAGTGTGCTCCATTAGGAATGTAACTGCTTAGAAGTCTCTCTATCTCAGTGGTGTTGCAGTATAGATGAGTGTTTTACTACATCTGGTCATAAAACTATACTTTTCTGTTCTTTCTTCATCTTGCTCTGTAAATGTTTGAAGCCCTAACCCTGTTTTATCATCCAGCTGACACATTTTATAGGCTTCTCTTGGCTCCCGGTTTATTAGTGTATTCAGTTATAGGACACACTAATGACCTATTTGAACGGTTGCCATTTGATGAGCATTATATGTTTCTGAATAATTAAATGGTGACTGTGAAAGAGTTTAGCCATTACCTACGTTTAAACGCAAGCATAATACTAATACCTTTTACATAAGCTTGATAAGCATTTGAGGTAATTTATTATTGCCATATATGACACCATTTGTAAGATTTTTTCCCGTACTTGTTTTGTACCCGAAACAGCAGGGCAAAAATAAGCGGAATGGATGTTAACGTATACCTAAAGCCAACCCCCTTTTTTTTAATTTTGGATGGAGTAAAGACTGTTAAGGAGCTGATTAACACCAATGTGTTGCACTAAGCACACTGGATCTTTGCATTTGGAACACGCTACCACACGGCACCACACACTAGGTGCACTGGTGTGTTGCTTTGCCATTCCTTTGGATGGCACCCCAACATACCTCTGAGCAGGCGTGCATTGCAGTGTAGTGCATGCATTTCTTTTTTCACTGCCATGCATTGCACTGCAAAACGCACTTGCCCGCTATGAGGTGCATTCAGGTGATTGGCAATGCAACTCACCAGCGCAAATAGCATGCTGGGCAATAGCATGTGCTAAAAGCAACACTGTTGTGAATGAGCCCTAAAATACTTGCCTGTCTTTTGGGGGGTCTTTTTTTTTTCTTTGTGTGCCATTGGGTAGACTTTCATTTACCATCTTCTTGTCTTGTGACCACTTAAAATCTTGTGTTTGCCCTTCCTTTCCGTCCCAGGGAAACATTTTTACCAGGGTAAACAAAGTGTTTTTTGTTGTGCTTTGTGTCCCTTTTTTATAGAGGTTGCCTATCTTCTTTCATTTGGACACCCTGTTTCCAGTACAGTAAGTCAAGGGGACCTAGACGACCATGAAATACTGCCGGTTTTTATCTAAGACGTAAAAGGTTTTGACTGGTGTTTGCCTTCTTAAAAAAAGCCCTGATATTTGAATCCAAAGACATACGTGCAATGTAGATAAATCCAGAGTGACAAATGGAATTTCTATTTTGCGGTGAGATCTGACCAGTGGAGAGGGTGTCGGAGGAGTTGTGGCTGGGGGAGAAGGTGACAGGAGTTGTGGCCATGTGTAACATGCTGGAGTGAGTGCAGTGGCATTTAGCACATTTCTTCCTACTGGTCACAGTGTGTACCAACCGTATTAGTGTTGAGTTGTTCTGTACCTTCAACTGATTACTTTATTAACCTGGAAACTGATTGCTTGCTGTGGGTCACTGCATTTTGTGCACAGACAGTACATATTACAGTAGTGTGTTAACTGCTTGGCAGGTGCAACATAAGATAATGCAATATCCAAAAAAGCAAAAGACTCTCTGCTCCAACTCCCCCAGCCTGCAGATCAATACAGACATTGGGTGCAGGCTGCAGTGTGCTCCCACTTGTTAACAATCAGCCGCACAAAACCGAGGTTCCATAAATATCCAACTTTATTATTGTAAATTCCATGCAAAGTTCAAAATACAAGGTGTACACCACCATAGTATCTCTCCCACTCCAACGCCTCTGTGGTGAAATGCGTGAGTAGGCGTTGGAGTGGGAGAGCTACTATGGTGATGTATAACTTGTATTTTGAACTTTGCATGGAATTTACAACAATAAAGTTGGATTTTTATGGACCTCGGTTTCGTGCGGCTGATTGGGGAGATATTATAAGATAATGCAAGTTCTCCTGCTGGATGTTGAACGTTAAATGTTTTAAAAATCTTGCTGTAGTTCTTTCGTTCTTTATTTTTTGGTAAGGATTTAGTCCCTTCCAGGTCTGAACTGCATTCCAGGACCTTGGAAGGTGGACGATTCCCCATCCCTGGCATGCTTTCCTTGCTCAGCTGAGGTGCATGCTTCATATATCCCTGTGGAGAAGCCACACAAGCAAGTGATACAATTCTATGCTATCTAGTGAGTTCCTGCCAAAGCATATATATTGCTTTTCAAGAGGTGATACAGGGGGCTTGGAGGGATATGACCATGCCAGGGCTAAGGGATGGAAAAACATATGGAAGGTTACGAAAAAACAAAGTTTGCCTGCCACGTCTTGGATGCTCATTTGTTTTCCTAGTCACTTTCAGCTCTTCTGGTGTGCTGTGTTTGAGTTTCGTGCGGCTGATTGGGGAGATATTATAAGATAATGCAAGTTCTCCTGCTGGATGTTGAACGTTAAATGTTTTAAAAATCTTGCTGTAGTTCTTTCGTTCTTTATTTTTTGGTAAGGATTTAGTCCCTTCCAGGTCTGAACTGCATTCCAGGACCTTGGAAGGTGGACGATTCCCCATCCCTGGCATGCTTTCCTTGCTCAGCTGAGGTGCATTCTTCATATATACCTATGGAAAAGCCACACAAGCCAGTGATACAATTCTATGCTATCTAGTGAGTTCCTGCAAAGATCTGTGCATGTGTGGTCAGTATGCATGCCAGAACTTGCCATTCAGTGGTACAGGACGCCATGCAGATGCACAGCGCACCTGTATCTTCTGAAGCTTGTTTAGCCTCTGTGCCCCTACCCATCTCAGAACTCTCAATTGGGCTTGATTCTTCCTGTTTCTAAACTGACCATGCAACGCAAAGATCTGTGCTTGTGTGGTCAGTATGCATGCCAGAACTTGCCATTCAGTGGTACAGGACGCCATGCAGATGCACAGCGCACCTGTATCTTCTGAAGCTTGTTTAGCCTCTGTGCCCCTACCCATCTCAGAACTCTCAATTGGGCTTGCAGACCAGAGCTTCACTGTCACATTGCACCTTTCTTCACAGTCTTCTAAAGCACAGCATACATGAATGGGGAACATACTACACCCAATCTTTGTGTGACACGTACAATGCCCAGTATATGATATATGTAAAACCAATCACTAAAATCTTACATTTTTCAATATTTTTAAGTTTGCAGTGTTCAAATAATACCTGGTGATCCTGCACTTCCTGTTACAGGGTGACAACCTTTTTGCCATGTCTTCAATTGTGATCCTGTGTTTTTTTTCACCCTGCCACAAAGGCTTCTGCTGGAGTCTACAAATGACCCATTTTTAACCCTCATTATGCAAGGATAACTTTATCATTGAGCAAACTGCTGCCTAATATGCAGAATGGAAACAAACCTTCCCCAGACACTTGTAAAACTACAAATAAACCTTGTGTGGAAACCCTAAAAACTCTGAGACAGTCTGTGCTGAGTGATGTGTAAACATGGTGTATAAAATATTATTGCTTTTTTAAAAAAAAAATGTGATGTTTACATGATAATGCTAATATACAATGTATTTTTTAAATAAAATAATTTTTCAATATATTGTCTGATTTGTGTTAATAGCTAAAAGAGGAACTCTGGGAATGTAAAAACTTACCCTTGCAGTGTGGCTATCCCTGCACTGCGAGGGTTAAGTGCTCGTTTTGCCTCAAATAAAGAAGATATACTCCCCTGATCCTCGGCCCCATGGCATTCAGTGCTCACTTTCTCCCCACCGCTCCAGCTATGACTGTCCCTCAGCATCCTCACATCTAATGCAAGTCAATGGACCTGCATGAGATGAGATGACCAGCCCAGAGGAAACCAAGATCAGATAAGTTTGACATAAAAACCTTTTGTAAAAGGTAAAGTGAATTGGATATTGTGCAGTTTGTAATCTATATGGACAAATCTGCTTTCATCTTCTATAATATCAACTACATTAAAATAAATCCTGATTTTGTTAAAATTCACTAATCGGAGACAATCGTCTTCTAAATCCATGTACTGTCACATGGCTGCCTTCTATACTGGCTATTCACTGGTAGATTTTTTTTTTTTTTTCTTTTGTATGAACCTTCATACAAAAAATCTAATCGGAACATTTGATGATGCCCTCAGACACTTGTAGAATGTTGTTAAATTTTGGAAATTAATAGAGTTTCTCAAATGATAGACAGATAAGAGACTCATTAGTTACATAGTATTTGAGGTTGAATAAATACATATGTCCATCAAGTCCAACCTGATGTGTAGTATGTATAGGTCCCTGTG